GAATCGTAACTCTTCCCTCGAATATCAGAGTCGAATGATATTAATTTTAATAAGCCCAAACATAGATTTATACACGTTCACTCTCTCCATACCAAAAACATGGTGAATTTTGTTAAAAGTTACAAATGACTCTTGAAACACAGAGTAATGCAAAACTTAGTAAAAATCACATTTTGATGATTAGTTTAGTGATATGTCTCCTAAAGTTACCCTATTTCAGATGATAATATCTTAGGATGATACATAGGAAACTATGATGTAGATGCAGTATTAATTAATTTATTATTGAGAGAAATCCCAAACTACCTAGAGAGGGAGAGTGAAGAAGAGACAAACAGTATTTCAGGAAGTACTGAAAACTTAGGATTTTTCTGGAGTGAATGCTGTATTATCATCACTTTCATGAACTGCAAAGTCCCTAAAATTACTTATTACAAATACACTGTTTTCCATAGACAATCATTTGTGTAAATGTGCTAAAATATCCCATAATCTAACTCTGTAAAAACTAACCTATTTGATGCCCAAACCAGATCTTATTTTTTAAATTCTATTCCATCTAAGTGTTAGAATTCCCATAATGTTGAGAGATGTACTTGAATAGAGAACACAGTTTTAAAATATACTTGGGCTATGAAGTGTAATGAAAAATATCACAGACACTTAACAAATATTTTAACTGTCATTAAATTACAGTGTAGCATAGGCCAGGCTACATTCATTTTTTAACCCCTTATTACCAGTTATTGAGATTCATGTGTGTAAAGCAATTTCACATTAGGATTTGCTTCTGTATTTCTAAAATGTTCTTAATGAAGAATTTCATTTCCCAGGAACTTCTTAATCATAAAAAATTAATCATATAAATAGACAAAATTATTCATAGTTCAAAGCTCATCTAATGCATGATGCCTTTTTTGACTCCCCCGGACAATATCCTTCTTCCATCAAAATCTCATAGCTACCTTTGTAGTTATGAAGCAGAAGGAACTTATTTTATTTCACTTTACAGTATAGTGATTTGTTAAATTTTCCATGAACAGATTGAGAATTCCTGCATCAATAAGTCAGAGTCACTGAGTCTTACATATCTTTGTATCCTCCCTACCCCCATGTCTAACACAATCCCTTGAAACTAAGAGGCAATCTATATGTTTATCTGAACTTGCCAAAAGAAACTTCTTTTGGTATACTAAAAGCCACCTTCTCCAAAGGGTTCTTAGAAAAGTGAGTTATAGTTTGGCAACTACAAATGTTATTTTTAAGCTTTATGGAATCCATGCTAATTTACTAATTATGTTCTCATTATAGAGAGTATTTCAACATTGCTTATATAGTCATTAAAAATTAAAATAATTAGAATCTTTCCAGTTAGCACAATAGTTTGATTTCTTAATCAGATGTATATATATGTATTTAAAACTAACTGAAGGATTAAACTTTTCCCTGCTAATGTAGTAAGAGTGCCAAAAATAATGTAAATTAACAGATTTTTTAATGGGTAACTCCAAAGGAATGCAAGAAAAAATGTTTGTGTGTGAGAAAAGATATAACTGTGTGTTTATCATGTAAAGTAGAAAACAGAATTTAATAAATATAAGTGGATTATTTATTTTTGATTTATCTATCCAGAAATCATTGACAGGGCATTTATGTTACATCACATATGTCTAAGTGTGATAGTTGCTGAGGTCATAAAGCTAATTAAGCTATAGCCCCTGCCTTTCAAAAAGCTGCACTATAGTGAACTCATAAAAAACAATATAAGCATTAAGAGGACATTGGGGTTGTCTCTGGCTGGGGGAGCAGAGAAAAGGGTTCACAAAGGAAGTGACATTAGAACAGGGTTCAAGGTTTAAGCTTCATTGTGCAGGTTTCAAGGGATTTTAGGGGGGAGCACGGAAGTAAATAAAAAACCCGCTGTTCTTTTTTAGAAAGATATTTGGGGAAGAAACTGCTCATCTAATAATAGTCTAGTGAACAGATGAGGACCTAGTTGGTGTAGGAGAAACTGCATTTGGAAGGTATTTGGTAGGCAGAAACATTAGGACTTGGTTATAGATTTAATGAGGGGGTGAGAATAAGGAGCCAAAATGACATTTAGGCCTTTAACCTGGCAGATGGACAAAGACATTAAATAAAATCTAAATGATCAGTTAGCAAGTATTTATTGGGTAACTTTTGTGTACCAGACACTATTCTAGACATACAATGTCTGTTTTCATTCTAGTCAGGAGAAGCAGATAGCAAATGAATAATCCGAGATAGTGATAAGTGTGATGAAGAAAATAAGACAGAGTTATGTGACAGTGACTGGGGGGAGGGACACATTAGCTGAGGTAGTCATGAAAAGTGACACTTGAATGATAAGGAGGAAGCCAAGTGAAGCTCTGGTTAAAAAAAAGACTAGCAAATACAAAGCCTGAGATAGGAAAGGTCTTAACATCATCTAGAGACAGAACGGCAGGCGCAGGCGGCTGGTGGATGGGGATGGGAATGGGGAGAAAAATGAGATTAGACAGAGTATGGAGTTCCTTGTGGCCCACTGCAAGGAGCTTAGCATTTATTCTAGTTACAGTAGATAGTCAGAGCTTTTAAGCCAAGGAGGATGTGATCTGACATATTTCTGTCTGCTATGTGGAGAATGGGCTAAAGGAGACAGAATGGGGGCCTGGTAAAAGGGGTGGCTTAGACTGTTCTAACAGTGATGACGTTGAGAAGCAGTCACATTCCGTATATAGAGGGCAAGATGGCAGGACGTGCTGATAGACTGGATGTGCAGTGTGAGGGAAAGAGAGGAGCCAAGGGTACCTAAGGGGGTTTGGTTCTAAATCACTATACAGATAGAGGGTGGTGATATTAAACAGGGATGATTAAAACTTGGGCACAGAGAGGCTTCAGGGTGGTGGGGCCAGGTATCAATAGTTCTTCCATGGTTAAGGAAAGGCTAAACTGTGTAGAAATGTGTAAGTGAAATGTTACACAGGCAGCTGGGTATAGAGTCTAGAACTCAGGGGAGAGGTCTAGGTAGAGACATGTTCTAGGAGTCATCAACTTCTACACAGAATTTAGATCTAGGAGGCTGGATAAGACTCATTTTTACTATATCAAGCAAGTGTATGAAGGGTAGAGAGTGTTCAGCAGTGTTTTCACTTTTTGTTTTGTTTTGTTTTGTTTTTTTGAGATGAAGTCTGGCTCTGTCGCCCAGGCTGGAGTGCAGTGGTGCGATCTCAGCTCACTGCAACCCCCGCCTCCCGGGTTCAAGCAATTCTCGTGCATCAGCCTCCCAAGTAGCTGGGACTCTAGGCACAGGCCACCACACCTGGTTAATTTTTTGTATTTTTAATAGAGACAGGATTTCACCATGTTAGCCAGAATGGTCTCAATCTCCTGACCTCATGATCTGGCTGCCTCAACCTCCCAAAGTGTTGGGATTACAGGTGTAAGCCACTGTGCCCGGCCTCATTTTTGTATTTTAAAGGGGAGGAATAACAAATCCCATGTTAGATGCTTACTGTCAAGGTAAATTACTATCTGGCTTTTCTGTGGCAAAACATATATAGTCTCTAAAAGTATTTTATTATTTTCCTCTTGCATTGCGATTTAACCCTGAGGTCTCATTTATAGTCTCCCACTCCACTTTTCTTCTTTCCTACATTAGTGAGCTCTCTGATAGCAAACACTGTCCTCTTTGCTCAGCCGTTACTTGAATAGAAGACACTTTTGAAGTATCTGTTACTGCATGAGTATATACATCCAGCCTTAATGATTAACAATTGACTATATTAATAGAGAGACTAGAAAGTAGCACAATAATGAATTTGTTTCAAAGCTCTGTGGATTGTAACCTTAAAAGCGTCTTTTCTTAAGAATTAGTCTTGGAATTCCTTCTATCAATGAATCAACTTTGAAAAATAGTCAAGTTCTGCAGACATTTCCAATGAATCACACAACTAAGTGCTATGGTCTGAATGCTTTGTGTCCCTCCAAAATTTATATGTTGAAACCTAATCCCCAAGGCAACTGTATTAGGGGGTGGGAGGGGAGAGCCCACATTAATGGGATTAGTGCCCTTATAAGGGGCTGAAGAAACTAGAGTGCTCCCTTTATCACGTGAGGACACAGTCAGAGTGCAAACCAAAAAAAACGGGCCCTCACCAGACACAAATCTGCCAGCACCTTGACCTTGGCCTTTCCAGCCTCCAGAACTAAAGAAATAAATTTCTGTTGTTCATAAGGTATCCAATTTATGGTATTTTGCTGTAGCAGTCCATATAAAAGAAGACAATAAGCAACTAAACTCAAGTAATCATGGATGATTTTTGAACCATTCTGGTAGTTATTACCCAAATCCCAAACATATCAACTTTTATTTCCTATCAGAGATGCTATTTATGGTCAGCACTCACTACATGTTTCTGCTGCCCAGGCTGGCAGCCTTGAATTCCTGGGCTCAAGCAATTCTCCCACCTTAGTCTTTTGAGTAGCTGGGACTACAGGCATGTGCCACCATGCCCAGCTAATTTTTGTATTTTTAGTAGAGACGGGGTTTCACCATGTTGGCCAGGATGGTCTCAATCTCTTGACCTGCCTGCCTCGGCCTCCCAAAGTGCTGGGATTACAGGTGTGAGCCACTGCGCCCGGCTGAATGGATTATTTTTAAGGCTTTCTCTACAAGTTTATGTACTGCCTATTTATTGAAATGTATTAGTAAATAATCACTCAATTAAAAATAGTTTAAATGTTTTAACTTAAGGACTTGATTTCTGTTTTGTTTTGTTTTTAACAGAAAGTTTTCATTTCCAGCACTTAAAAAGTTTAGCACTTGGGAAGGCACTCCCTGTACTGCTATCCACTGACTTTCAGCAGACCACTTGTTTCCCTGTATTCAGACACCTATGGCATAGCAAGAGCAGAAGTTACTATTTATCCTCAGAGGCATATGTAATCATAGTGACTCCTTCAGTTTCACCGAAAAGGACTTACCCTATTTCACTTACCTCCGAAGGTTGGCTGGCTTCTACGTCCGAAGTTTTTCCTCTTGCTGCCATTCTTTGCTCATTTGTTGTATCGCCTATGAAGTAAAATACGTATAGATTTTTAAAACTTGACCATATTACTGAGGCCAAACTACCTGCTCTTTGTTTGAAGTATCTTTTGTTATTACATGTTTCACATCATGGAAGAAACCACTATTTCCCTTGTTTCAAAGTAAACATGCTAACTTTTTAAGAACAGTACTTACAAACAAGTCTCATATATCATTAATAAATACATATACACACAACCTAAATGTATCCTGTTTTATATAGATTTACTCTGGAAAAATCAAATAAATTCATATTTTATAAATAAAGTCATATTTCAAATAAACTTGGAAAGCTTATGACTTAAGGCAAATTATGTTGAAATAAAAAGTCTTTATGATGTGGATAACTGTCCTCCAAGTTAGTTTTTCATAAGGCTTACTCTTTGTAAGCATTTGTGTGTCTGTGGATTTGCCTTGAAGTAGATGTGTATGTTTATATGTAATAATTAACCAGATGACAGATAATCCTTTCAGCAGGAAAGAATAATGAACAAATGTATAAACTAGCCTTCACTGAATACTTTGATTCCTAAGGCTAGTGCCTGGCTGGGTTACATTACTAAATGAAGTTGATGAGTAGGCTGGCTTGAAGGACATAGGATAGACACAAACACACTTGGGTAAGTATAAGCAGAATTTAATAACTGGCCCATTTTAATTTATTAATTATCACTAATGGTTTGTGATTAACATAAGATAGACAGAGACTACCTATTAGCCTACTTCTTTGAAAAATAATCAGACGCTAATTTAGCAATTTGTAAATTGCTTTTTCTATAAAATTGGGCCATCTTAGGAATGTCCACAGCAGGGAAGATTACCAAAGAAATGGATGATGGCTTAGCTGACACTAATGGTTAGAAATTTGTTAATGTAAGGAAAAGTCATGAGTCTTGACTGGAGATAAAGTATGAAAATCTTGTCTAAGCTTAACTTCTCCATATGCAACACAAAAGTTTAGTTTACTAATGGCTATAGTCAAGGAAGAGTCTCATGAAAATTGTAAAGGATTAAATATAAGCCTGTTGATAAGAATGATACATTGGACTTTGGGGACTCAGGGGAAAGGGTTGGTTGGGGGGTGACGGATAAAAGACTACACTTTGGGTATAGTGTACACTGCTCGGGTGATGGGTGCACCAAAATCTCAGAAATCACCACTAAAGAACTTTTTCCTGTAACCAAACACCATCTGTTCCCCCAAAACCTACTGCAAATTTTTAAAAAGTGTCATTAAAGTAATAAAAAATATATAAGCCTGTTAAATTATAAAATCATGAAACAAGAACAAAATTGGTAGCTTATTTATTTAAGATAAATTAACCCGCAAAATGTTTACAATGCATATTCCACCCTATTACTTTGTTCTCTGTTTTGTGCAACATTATTACTGTTGGGCAGGGCCCAGCACACAATAGGTGTTCAATAAATATTAGTTGAATAAATTAGTGAACTTCTCTTTGTAGTTCATGGTAAAACTGTGACAAGGCCAGGCGTGGTGGCTCACGTCTGTAATCCCACCACTTTGGGAGGCCAAGGTGGGTGGATCACTTGAGGTCAGGAGATCGAGACCAGCCTGACCAACATGGTGAAATCCCGTCTCTACAAAAAATACAAAATTAGCTGGGCGTGGTGGCGCATGCCTGTAATCCCAGCTACTCAGGAGGCTGAGGCAGGAGAATCGCTTGAACCCAGGAGGCGGAGGTTGCAGTGAGCCGAGATCGCGCCATTGCACTCCAACCTGGGCAATGACAGCGAAACTCCATCTCAGGAAAAAACAGTGAGAAGATAAGACTTTATGATACATAATAAAAACTATATTTGAGCATACATGTTTGTAAAAACATATTTGTGAAGCAAAAGAAATCCCCCATCTCTGAAAGTGAGGGATAAGAGAACCTCCAATTTACATGGGAGAAACCAACGTATGAGGAGTTTGGTTTGCTTAGTTATAGGCATGAGACCACAGGAACCTGAGTGGCCAAAGTAATACACATGTCTGTACAACAAGGTCAAAGTTGTGTTTAACAATGCACATGCATGATGTTTCTAAGAAAATACGTATAACTCACTACAAAAGGTCCTTTACTCGAAGAAATATTATTTATCTTTTAAAAAGATTACTGTTCATCCATAGTCACACAAACAGTATATTTGGTTAAAATCATCCAGCACAAAGTCTGTGCTTCCTTTGCCATTTCCTGATTTCAAGGTGTGTATCTACACAAAACTTTCTCCCTACAGCTTGAAAAACCCAGAAAGGTTATCAGCCAGTGTTCTTAACTTCACACAACACATCTGCCTGGAAGCAATTGCTGAATCACTATTTACTGAAATGCCATGTCTGGCGATGTCTCAGATAGGACAATAACTGCTTACAAGGAAATTGCCATCTGTAAGATTGTTTCTCTGTAAACAAAGGCATAAAAATGAAAGCTGAACAAACAACAAACAGAAAAGAATGGATCACAATGAAATATAATTTTTGAAATTTTTTCCACCCATTAAAGAATTATTTTATTATGGTAAAAATTCAGTTATTTTCTATATTTTCTCTAATCCATATAAAAGTTAAATACTATTAAAAAATAAGCAAAAATGGATATGAGAAATATGAAATAAGGTACTTAAGTTTTCAAATATCAGTTAACTCTGATTTATATATTGGATAAAAAAATTTCATTTGCAACTCAGACATTTTAACAAAAACAAAAACACTGACAACTTCATAATACCTTACTTTTCACATAGGCTTTTAAAAAACATCACATTTGATTACTGTTGGGCAGGCACAGTAAGATAACTCTGCCCACCCCCAATTTACAAAAGAGTGAAACCTAAGTGGCAGAGGCACTCAGTGACCTGCCCAAGGTTTCCCACATAGAAAGCAGTCACAGTGGGAGCAGAACCCAGTTCTCTTGACATCTCTGGGGATTCTGTGGTCTGGTGAACAGTTCCAATGCATGAGGGCCAAGGTGGGAGGAAACTAGACTGTGAGTTAGGGAACAGGGTGTGAAGAGAGGAGCCAAGGGCTCTGATAGGGAGCGCTGAAGGCAGGATCTTGTGCCTTCTTGTCCTGCAGACAGCTTTCATTTCTCCTTTTTGCTTCCATATGCCCCATAGATTATCTGTTTTCTTCCCTTTTCAATGGTGACATCAAATACTTTTGACTGGTGTAAGACTTTATTCTTCCTTCTGGTCCTTCAAAGCAAACACACAATTCCCTTCATATTTTTCAAGAAGTTTTTAAGGCTAGAAACAATTTTACAAGACGCAAAAGTTGTCCCTATAGTGCAGCCATGCAATTTTGTTTCAAATGTAGTTTTTATTAGAGCCTTTAAATGATAAAGGCTACATATACATACTAATGAAGCTCTTTCAGAACTTAAAGGACTGACATGAAATTCATCTATATTTTAGATGAGGGGTTCGCAAATTTTGTAAAGCGTCAGATAGTAAACATTTTAGTCTTTGCAGGCCATAAGTCTCTGTCACAACTTCACAACTCTACCATTGTAGTCACAAGCAGACATAGAAAATATGTAAACTAGTGGGTGTGGCTGTGTTCCAATAAAATTTTGTTTACCAAAACAAGTGGCAGCCTGTAGTTTTCCAGTCTGTTTTAGAGAAATATATGCCTTCCACCTTTTCTGGGATAAAAAGTTGAATGATGGCCAGGCGCAGTGGCTCACGCCTATAATCCCAGCACTTTCGGAGGCTGAGGCAGGTAGATCACTTGAGGTCTGGAGTTCAAGACCAGCCTGGCCAACATGGTGAAACCATCTCTAACAAAAATACAAAAATTAGCTGGGTGCGGTGGCGCGTGCCTGTAACCCTAGATACTGGGGAGGCTGAGGCAGGAGATTTGCTTGAACCTGGAAGGCAGAGGTTGCAGTGAGCCAAGTTCACATCACCGCACTCCAGCCTGTGCAACAGAGTGAGACCCCGTCTCAAGAAAAAAAAAAAAAAAAAGTTGGATGATGTTTTAGCTATATAAGGAGGTGAAAAAGGAATGGTCATTAGAATATCATCATGCTCCCATTCTACTGGGTGAAGATGATTGAGGCGAGAAATTATGCTGAAGAGTGAGCATATGCATAAAGGAAATTGGAAAGGACAGAAATTTCCAGTGATGGGAAAGGAACCAAATGCCTACTTAAGAGGCATGTCACCCAGAGGAGGCTTGTCTGAAGCGGCTGATGGCGGGTGGGTGATGTAGCAGATACTTGGTTCCCACTCCTTACGTAACCGTAATAGGTTCATTGCCCATGCATGTGGTAAGTCAGTACACTGAGTGGTATGATTTGGATGTGTGTCTCCTCCAAACCTCATGTTGAAATGTAATCTCCAATGTTGCAGGTGGGCCTGCTGGGAGGTGTTTGGGCCATGGGCACAGATCCCTCATGAAGTGCCTTCCCTGTGGTAATGAATTCTCAGTCCATATGAGAGTTGGTTAAGAGTTTGGCATCTCTCTTGCTTCCACTCTTGCCATGTGACACACTGGTTTCCCTTCACCTTCTGCCATGATTGTAAGCTTCCCGGGGCCCTGACCAGAAGCAGTTGCCAGCATCATGCTTCCTGTAGAGCCTGTAGAACCCTGAGGCAAAATAAATCTCTTTTCTTTATAAATTACCATTCTCAGGTATTCCTTTATAGCAACATAAACAGACTAATACACTGAGACACTGGGCTACAGCAGTAAAAGAACTTCAATCTTAAGACAACCGAATGAGGAGACATGAAGAAACCTCAAATGTGTCCCCCAGAGGAGTGTGGGGGTTTTGGAGTGGGCCAAAGTGTGGAGACCACTGATTGGTTGAAAATTACAGGGTGAAATCATGGGGCAGGGAGATGAAGAAATGGTATTCTCTTGTTGATTTGGTTCCTCTGTGGGGGTCTTTAAACTGGTTGGTGTTAGTTGTTCCACTAGAATCCAGGATCTGCTTAAGTAATTCTTCAACAAGAGCTTATGATTCTAGTGTCAG